CATTTTGATCACACTGATATCTCGAAAGACATTCAATATCATGTATATGCAAGTATTATTTCAAATTGTATGAATCATTTCAAGTTCCTGGTTTTCTGGGCGTTCATCTGAATCTGTGGCAGAGATTCTCCTGTATGTTTAGTTATATGTTATGTAGTTTATAATTCGCAGCTTCTGACTGCTGCATACAATAAGAATTACTCACATTCCAACTCATTTCAACATTTAAGAATCAATTATAAGAATATGACACAATACAAACATGACGTTATACAGTAAAATACGTTTATAACGAATACGCTTATAACGAACTGCCTGATACTATTAACTTATTTCTTGGTCGCGGCCATTTGCAGTATCTATTCTGTATATATGCTTATAACAAACTACGGTTATAACGAACTAAAACTAGTGTTCCCTTTGAATTCGTTATGTTTTTCAACATTTTGCGACTGAAATTAGTCCTGAACAAGCGAAATTTCATTTCACATGCGCACACACTCACCATACACAAATACACACCACACACATACAAACACATACAAACACACACATACGCATACCACAAACATACACTACACACACAACTTACTTCATTACCTTATGAATTCATTTCTCTAAATGACAATGGTCAGAATTATAATTTGTGAATGAATAAACGAATAGCATTGCTTTTCACTATCCATTCCTTTACTTTTCACTGCAAATTGCCTTTTAACACTCAGCGAATATGGTTCTTGAGACGGAGTATTCTCTGGCGTTGACGTTTTATTTTTATTGTAATTCACTTGGTTGTCTAGATCTGTTTTACTACTTTACTATACTGTTTTGATGGACATTGTTTCAATGAATATATAACTTGCTCTCTCTAGGCAGCCGTCGCTATCTTTGCCGTATATGGCAATATTCATATTCAAGATAGAAACAGTTTCCTTAATTGTATCAATAGTTTGACAAGCTACAAAGAACACATATAAAGTATATCAGGCTTTCTTGCTAACACAACAAACCTGGTGTTCATATTTGTTTAAACCTAAAAAAGTCAATAATCAATAAATGTGCAATGCATGTGATTTCGCGGTGTTTTTTATGTACGTTTCACCCAGATCCTCTATCTCAACAACACCGCGTGTGTGATCAGGATGTAGATGGGCGGTCACGGTGCCTCCGGTCACATTGTCACGTGAATTGAATACGTGACATATCTAAATCTGTAACATTACAAACCTGGAGCACTTTGGCATTAACGTTGAACAAACCACGCACAATGGTTGGGTTGTTAATATTCAATAACTGTTAAATATATGATCTGAAACCAAATGAGAACATATGTACTGAGATATAAGACAGACACATTAGCGACAAAAAAGATGTCAATCGCAATTTCATATGATGACAATTTTTGTTTTATCAGATGAACCGTATGTTCCCGTGTTTTTTTCTGGTGTTCAATTGGCTTGACATTGCATGTGTTTGTGACGTGTGTCACCGGTGGGGCAGGATACGCTTACCTTTTCGCGACCAGCTGGTATCATCACTCTAGCTATTTGATAGTGATTCATAATCACATGCTCATGATATATTCGGAATAGTACAATCGACTCTGCTTTTGGCAGAGATTTCTTATCACTATGGAATTTATCAATTTGTCAAGCAAAGAACTCAAACAGCCACATGATATGATGATGGATGATATGGGCCGTCTTTAGTGGGCAGCACAGCACCAGCATGGGCGCCACCAGCAGTCGAGAAGAGTCCTCTTTTCAGACGATAGCCGTTGCTGTATCTCAACAGCAGATGGCAGAGAGAGATAGATAGAGAGAGAGAGAGAGAGAGAGAGAGAGAGAGAGAGAGAGAGAGATAGAGAGAGAGACGCCGTGGTGAACGTTATTCGGATGTTTGTGTTGTTGAGAGAGACTCGTGGGGTGGTCCGAGCATCATGGTGTGGGGTGGAATTGGTCTTGCACAGGGGGTCGGCCTTGTGATCTTCCAGAACATCGGTCCAGGGAGAGGCAATGGTGTCACAGCAGCTCGGTACATTGATCAAGTCTTTAGACCACACGCCATACCTCATTTGGCACGTCGCTGCAACTACGAGTTTCAGCATGATAACGCCCGTGCCCACACTGCGAGAGCAACAAGAGACTTCCTCCAGCAGAATGGCATCATAACCATACATGTGGCCTGCCTGCCCCGATTTAAATCCCATTGAGCGCCTGTGGGACGAGATTCAAAGACAACTAAATGACGTCCGAGCAAGGCCGACAACTGCAGCTGAACTGCGCCAGGCGTTCCTCACAGTGTGGGCTCAAGTGCCTATGGCCTTCATCAACCGCCTCATCCATTCCATGTATCGACGTTGCACGGCAGTCATCAATGCACATGGCGGACACACGAGATACTGACTTGTGATGCCATTTTCTCAGAGACTAGTTTTGTGTTACACTTTAAGAACATTTGACACTTTAATTTCAACCTTGATGATCAGTTTTGCCAAGTTTCATCTTTTAAATATGTCTCAAAGTATGTTAACAATGTTTGGACAAATAAGGTTTCTCATATATCTATCTATGGTGACGTTTCTTTTGCGGTTCAGTATATGTAGTCAGGCGCGGATATTTTCAAGTAGATTCCCACCCCGTCTATCAATCATGTTATCGATCCTGGCCCAATTTACTCGCCTTTCTATAATGTTGTGTGGGGGACCTTACGTTTAACCAGGGTTGAAGCAAGTGCTATGGATATCAAAAACTCTCATCGCAATTACACACTCCATGGAGTTTATGGAGTCATGAATTCTTTCTGGAGGCTATCACCACTACAGAAATATTATCCATAAGCTATATTGGTCATAATCTTTACATATGTGATCGCCGACAACCAAATTATATTGTCTCTAAACATGTACAGTGTCGTCTATAGTAGGGTAGTAGTAGTAGTAGTAGTAGTAGTAGTAGTAGAGGGAGGAGGAGTAGTAGTAGTAGGAGTAGTGTGTGTTTGCATCTGCCTCTGATCTGGTCAGTTTCGTGGATGGGAGTGTACCAATGAGGCTAAGTGGTAAAATGATAGTGATTGGACAACATGGACAACTTGTTAAACCTTCGAAATCCTTACAAACAATACATATTTTAAATATAATATCAGATGTCGACTTCATCATCGATAGCCCTGAAGCCACTTTTATCTTTGTTTCAGCTACATCCCTCATTGTACGCATTTAAGGAAAATGCGTTTGAACAGATTAAAGGACGCAATATATTACAAACATATGCACATTGCTTTATCACGATTCAAGGCTTCTTCTTGTCCCTTCATCTGTAGTAGCTCTAAAACGTCGTTACAACTGAAGAATACTAATAGGGCAAGATTGATAAAATTTTGACTGAAGACAGTTTAATGGATTAAAAGGCAGATGACATAATTGTTTTTTTTCAAATGTAAAGGACTTACACAGTTTCGGGTCAATACCCAAAATGTCAGTCAATACCTGGTGTGACCACCATTAGCATTGATCACTGCCACACATCTGTACATTGAGTGGATCAGACGATTTGTGAAGGCCCTAGGGATCCTCCTGCACACATCCAGAGCAGCTGTGCGTAGTTCATTGGCAGTTGTAGGGACTGGGCGCACATTGCGCAGGCGCCTTTGAACCTCATCCCACAGTGTGTTCGATGGGGTTCAGATCAGGGCTGAGGGCTGGCCACGGTAGAACACGGATGTTGTGTTGTTGCAGAAAGGCCATGGTAGCTCTGACAACATGGAGACGAGCGTTGTCCTGCAGGAAAATATGTTGTCGATGTGCCAAAAATGGAACAACGTGGAGTCTGATCACTTGGTCGATATATCGCTGAGCAGTGACGACGTGTCCCCGACCTTGACCAACATTCAGAAAGCACATGGGTCCAAGTCTCGCATTAAGTCGAAACACTGCCCATATCATGACGCTAGGTCCACCCCTTGGATCCCTTTCCACAACGTTCTTGTCAGGAGATGATCACCTCGACGCCGCCAAATTCCGACTCTTCTGTCTGCGTAGGGGACACAAAAGCGACTTTCATCAGAGAAGATGACACGCCTCCACTCACGATGACGCCAATTGTGCTCACTGAAGTCGTGTTTGTCAATGCCGTGGTTGGAGAACAGGACGACGTGCTGGTTGGCGACATCTAGGGTTGTTGGAACGGAGACGTCAGATCACAGTGTCCCGGCTAATGTGTCGATTATGTGTTCCTATGGTCTGTTGAGCACCTTCACTTGCAGTTAGGAACGGATGTCGCTGGTGTTGACGGGTAATCTGCCGATCTTGTCGAGGTGTTGTGACCCTAGGTCGACCGCTCCGAGGAAGGTCATCTGTGGTCTGTGTAGCATTGTATCGATGCAGGAGACGGTAGATTGTGGTTATGTTAACGTTGAAATGACAGACTCTTCAGCTTCCAAACGTCCGATAGCCTGGTTTCTCTGAATTTGAGTTAGGCGTGGCATTGTTGACCAAGGAGTGGTGGGTCCAAGAATCGGCCACAGTTTTATAGCCACTACAGTTCGTGACAGTTTGTGCATTTTCGACTTCGCAAGAAATGGGTGCATGAGACCCACATATTCATTGAAATGGTGCGTTTTGGCGATTCGTTTTTTATGTTGCGTTTTTTCAAAATGCAACCAAAAATATTGATAACACTAACAGGCTTTACTACATGCTAAAACTCGTATCAATATATGGGTCCGTGTTACCTATTTGCTTAAAACCACTTGCGTTTCTTTTGCGTGTGAGTATATATATATACTATGTCTCCAACCTGTCACACCTACAACGTAAAGTTAATGTTATTTTTCTTGCTGTTTAATTGTAACGGTGCCATCGGCTGGGCAGGATACACTCACCTTTTCGCGAAAACCTGCTTTCATCACTATTAGATAGTTGTTCCTTGCTCATGATATAGTTGGAATCGTATTTCTTATTAGTTTGAGGTTTAATGTGACAAAATTGCAATTCACATTTGTTGATCCCATTGTGATCCCTGGAGATGAAAATTCGCTACTCGTACCACTTTTGCAATGTTTGTTTCTGTCATTTCTGACAACACAATCAAGGGTAATCTGTCACCCTGTAACTCACACATTAGAACCTGTTTAAACCTCCAAAACATTGAATAGTTACCACCGTCCATGTTATACATTAAAAAAAACGAAAATTAAGTATGACTTTCTTTATCCATTTTCAAACTAGTTTAACAAACATGCATTGAGGGTAATTGTAATATTTGATATACTGAGACATTATGATATATTTATATTTGAAAGAGACAAATCCGTTTCCACATTCCAAAGAAATTTCTGCAAAAAAAAGTGAAAACAAATGACAACTGGCTCTAATATATACACCTGGAACTTAATTAAGCGCCACCCGTATTTATATCAATGAGTCAACCTTGTTGTAACCTACCGAAAAATCCCTTTGTTTGAAGAATACTGATGGATTTTATTTTCAAATGGTGACATATTTGAAAAATACGTAAAATGTCCCAAAGATGCTCTATGGGATTGAGATCAGGACTCTGTGCTGGCCAAGGAAATGTCTCAATCGCATTCTGACGTAAACATTCGCGGACAGCACGTGATCTGTGAGGTCGGGCGTTGTCATCCATGAATATCGGTCTTGTGGCCAATGGATGGTTAACAAAATGGGGAATAACTGCCGTCTCCAAGATGTCATGCTGATATCGAGGTCCGTTAAGAGTGCCATGCACACTGATCAAGTCCAGTTTACATGAGAAAGATACAAAACCCCACACCATTACGGACCCACCACCAAAGGAATGGTTTCAAGGATGTTGCGTTTCAGCCATGGCTGTATTCGGCTGCCTCCAGACACGTGTACGCCCGCCCACCATGTGCTAAAGGAACCGGCTTTCATCAGAAAAATGAACTCTCCTCCATGATCGAATGTTCCAGTTCTGACGTTGAGTTGACCACGCCAAACGAGCTCGTCTCTGTTCCTGTGTTAACAGTGGACGTTTGATTGGTCTTCTGGCTCTATACCCCGCTACCTTCAAACGTTTTCGGACGGTTGAAATTGCTCGGCCACCTAGCCACTGTGATCTTAAAACTGTAGCGTTGTTAAACGGACGTCGCCTAACAAGCCGTAATAACGCTGCATCTTCCCGCCTGGATGTCTTTCGAGGCTGACCTGGGCGTGGTCTATCCTCAACTTCATTTGTTGCACGGTATTTTTGCACTAATCTTGTAATTAAGGAATGGCGATGTCCAAGTTGCCGTCCAATTTTCCTAAAAGACAATCCTGCATTATTCATTCCAATAACCTGCCATCTTAATGCTTCTGACAGTCTATGACGTGGCATGATGTTTGTTTACAACGATCAGACAGTCTTTGTCAAGAAATGTTTACTTTTCAAGGTGTGCAAAGGTAAAAACCCATACTTGATTTTAGAAAATTCAAGGGTATTGTGCTTCACGTGCAGTGCATGCAACAGCAATCGCGTTGATCGTGGCATTGTCAGTGTGATGGTGTGGGGGAAAGGGCCATATTGTCTAATAAATAATCGTTGTTTGCTTATTTTCGGTATTCATAATTCTGTGTCATATTTAGTTCGGTGGCGCTTAATTAAGTTCCAGGTGTATATTTACATATAGACCAAACAGATCTGGACACTAAGTAGTGATTCCTCTGGAATACACTGCCGATTTCACAAAAAGTCTAATGTTTTAATACATTTATGATGTCCTACAATGTATTGCAAAAGGCAAACGACACGTGTACAGACACGCCATGTCCAATTTGTTCTTTGATAGAAGATTCTCAGACCTTCTCCTCTGCGTCACCAGATTGTCCCTCGAGGATCATATACAGGTGATCCTGGTAATCTGACAGTTTGATGTAGTCGCCAGCCTCCTCCAGCAGAGAGTCCACTTCACTGCTCAGATCCTTAAAGTCTGGTCTCGACTCCTGCTCATGGCGCCAACATTTCGTCATCAAAGAGTACCTGCACAACGAGAAGCAAAACCAACCTTTATGTTTAAATGTATAATGCAATGTGTACAGAGTTGTCCATCGCCTCTGACTTTTCAAATCAGTTCACACTGCGGCCATTAACGTTTCCAAAGAACATGTCTCTATCATCTCCTGTTCCTTTCAACACAGTTCTATTAGAAGTTCTATATCGAAGGTGGAGGCGAGATCAGGGGCAACTGTACAGAAGATGGCCAGTGTCATCACCAGTGTTATATCTACAGAGAACTATTTCATGCTATGTTTTGACAGATAGCTTATGTGCTGTATGGATTCTATTCAGAAATAAAATTGGTCCCCAGCAACCTACGTTTGTAAAACGCGACTAGATGATCGTGTGGTCTGGTTCGGTGTCTTATGTCATCTTGCTGCAACAGCGTTGGTCGTCGACCATATTACCAATCACCAATTTGTCGGGTCGATTATGTACAGACCACCGTCAAATAGCTGTTATATTCCAGTGTGGCATTAAGCAATACACAAAAACAACTCTAGAGATCATTGACATACAGTGAAAACCTGATATATATTCGTTCTATCTGTGTAAAAATCGTATCTAACGAGAATGAGTGTGGTATTCTCTATATCTGCTGCACATGTGCTGTGATGTACTTACAACTCTGGGGCACAGTGGTCTGGCATGGGCATCCTTCCTCCTCTCATCACGAAGCCCATGACGTCTCTGGCAGACTGGCCCTGGTAAGGACTGGCCCCTGAGTGATGCCATGTTAAAGTATCTCAGTTGAAGTTTACACATTGGGAATATTCTTTTTCTGTATCAGAAGTACCGTTTAGAACTGCAGTTCATATTTTAGGTGTTATATAATATACACATATGACATTGATTTTGCTATACCTGTATAGGATTAAACAATTAACATCACAATTCAGCTTCAAACAGTTTAATAGTTTAATACTTGAACATGGCACGCGACATGAATAAAAAAAATTGTACCATGAACATCTATGATACGAATCGATTGCACGATTCCGAAAATGCTATGTGCATGCGTGTATGAATCAGTATCAAAAAGCTCGCGAAACACATCCTATACAGCGATAGTATAATGACCCAAAATATATATGGACAATGGGTATGGAATGCATTCTAAAAAAATTTTTATAACATGACCGCAAATCAACGACCCATGATATCCAAGTTACCCTTCATTGATAAGTGTTATTTTCACCATACCTAGGGTAACAATCTCCCACAGCAAGATCCCAAAAGACCACACATCAGACTTGGAAGAAAATAACCTATCTTTGAGAGATTCTGGAGCCATCCAGCGGATAGGGAGCGGACCCTGTTGAACAAGGCAGAGCATGACAGGCATGTGACATTCACACGTTACAACACAGTACAATTTGTGTTGTACTAATTGTGATCATCTGATTCTGCTCAGTTGGTCCTTACAGCTGAGTTAAATTGGGATAAATTCAAAACGTCAACCCCAGACAATAATAAGTCTCGATTATCTTTCTAAGCATAAGCGTTAAAAGTCAAAATAGTGATGACAGGTGTTTTTTAAAAGGATATGCGTGTCCTTGTCTTCCGGTAGCACCCGACATTCCCATCTTTTCATTGAAAGTAAATAAACGTCATTTTGAGCAGTGTTTCAATGTCACCTGAATATGGAGGAAACTGTCTCTAAAAGAGATGTGTTACAGGGTATAAATACGTCAACAAATGAGCAATGGAAACGCAGCTGTGAGTCCAGGTTATTGGACAAGGCAATTATTTTTGTGAGCTCATCTAACATGCTCTGACTGTTTTGTGAAAGTCAATAAAACATTCCTTACCCCTGATTTTGTTTCGTATGCATCTTCACCTGTGTCTGCGAGTTTTCTGGCCAAGCCCAAGTCTGATACTTTACAGACAAGGTTTTCACCAAGAAGTACGTTTCTGGCAGCCAAGTCACGATGAACAATCTGCAAGGATACATCATACACGACTCACCCTCAGGCATTATCCTTCTGTTGTGCCAACCCTTTCATACAATTATTTTCCTCCATATATCTCTGGAATAATTTTGTGGTATTAACGTAATCCCCCCAGACAGACAAGCAGTACTTGAAAATATACTGACTTAACAAAGGTAAAACACCCTTTACTATCATAGCTTTCCCTCCCTGTCTTGATAGTGATGGCATCATCAAAAGCATGCAAACAAGGGACAAAACTAAAGTGATAACTCGCATGATGTATCTGTATCATGGATTCATCAAAATGTTAATTAATTGTTTTGTGTTTACATTTCAGACAAACGATCTTACTCTATTATTTTGCAGGTGAATCATTCCTTTGGCTATCTGGTGGGCGAACATCGTCAGTTCTTTAGATGTCAGTTCTTGTGTATCAGCTCCAGTATCAGTTTTCAGCGTCCTAGCACCTGCCTTCGGACGTCTTGATCGTAAATGGTTAAGAAGATTGCCCAATGGAACGAGTTCCATTATCAGCATATCAGAGCCTGTAACAAACATAGCATGGATACTCAGACTGAACTTTAGAAGAGCCTGTAACAAACATAGCATGAATACTCAGACTGAGCTTTTCCAGAGCCTGTGACACACAGAGCATGAATACTCAGAATGAACTTTATCACAGCCTGTAACAAACATAGCAGGAATACTCAGACTGAACTTTTCCAGAGCCTGTGACACACATAGCAGGAATACTCAGAATGAACTTTATCACAGCCTGTAACAAACATAGCATGAATACTCAGACTGAACTTTAGAAGAGCCTGTAACAAACATAGCATGAATACTCAGACTGAACTTTATCAGAGCTTTTAACACACATAGCATGAACACTCAGACTGAACTTTATAAGAGACTGTTACAAACGTGGCATGAATACTCAGACTGAACTTTTCCAGAGCCTGTGACACACAGAGCATGAATACTCAGAATGAAATTTTTCAGAGCCTGTAACAAACACAGCATGAATACCCAGACTGAATTTTACCAGAGCCTGTGACACACAAAGCATGAATGCTCAGACTGAACTTCATTATGAATGTACCAGTATAATTATTCTAAAAATTGAAATGTTTAAGTATGTATTCTCAATTTGAAATTACAGTAAAGACCTTATATAATAACAAACAATGTATGTATGTTAATGTACGTATTTATTCATTATTAAATCGTTTTACTTTCCAAAACTTATTTTATATCGAGTTGTTTTCTAAATCTTTAATCTGTCGTTATGTAGTAATTGATACGAACCTGCCTTGGCTGAAAAATGGAGATAATTCACAACATGGAGATGTTTCGGTAAAGACTTCATGAGTTCAATTTCATGTTTGAAGTCTTCTCGTACAGCCTCTGTGGCATTACCTGTAATACATTGCAACGGGAGATTTCATACACGGCCATATTCCAGAAACGAACACAGGTAAAATAAAAGAAACATTTGCCCCTGAACAATTCGAGAAAACATAGTTTACGGAAAACCGCATATTTCATATATAACCATTATCTAAAATACTGTTTATCTCAAATCAATACATAAGATTGTAACGCTTGAGATAACTAGCCACCATCCTCATTGAATACTCCTACAACATCGTAGCACATACACAGGCACCACAATGTATCTCAAACTTCGTTTCAGATTTCCACATATTGGGACTATCCACACCAATGCTATTTCTTTCAAGTCATTCGTGCACAGTGTAGTGCTGACTGTTGTATTGTTGTTACGGTTGTAATGAATGGGATTGTATGTCCGTTTGTATTCACAGTTGTAGTCCCCACCTATAGTATAGTTCCGGTTAGCGTATCCTAAATAGAAGAATCAAGAGCAAAAAATGGAACAGAATTATTGAGGTGCATGACATGGACTGAGAGCTACACATACACAGACACAACATGATATGGTAACATAAACCTCTCCTATACAATGTGCATACCTTTGCACTTCTTCACAGCCACGAAGTCCCACTGTCCCTTGGAATTAATACCGTGGGCTCGAGCCTTCCACACCTCACCAAACTTCCCCTCGCCCATTAACGTAATCAACTCGAGTCTAGCAGGGACAAAAGGCTTTTCCTTGAAAACAGAATGAAAACTCTATGTGTTGACAGATTAATGTACAATGAAATCCTCAAAATGCTTAAATATTATTGGTTCATTTCGCGAGATGTGTAAACTTGGATTTCTTTCAAACAGATTTATCAACGCATATCTTATGACGTATCTTGTGTACCTTCTCGGATGAGTGTCGTCGCCTCATGACACATACGATGATGACTATTAGACCCAGCAGAGCAGCTACTCCAACAGAAATGCCAACAGCCAGCTGCCGCGTGGAAGACGATGACTCTATTTCAACATCAGATATAGTGACATTAATCTAAGGCACCAGTGAAGAATTCAATTGTATTTGTCTATGTTTAAGTTCCTGAGAAAAAACATGAGACAAACATTCCCTCTATCTTCAAATGAAACGGTTACTAACGACTGGAGCAAGTTGTGTTTCTGACAGTTCAACATTAAGGAGAGAGAGAGAGAATCTTTACTTCCTCAAGATGTCATTCCAAAGATTACAATGAAAAGATTATTAAATTGCACGTGGTTAACACAATAAAAGGGCATAACATATTTACAATTACACACGGTTTATCAAATTCAGATACCTAAACGAAGACAGATATTCACTAAAAGACATACGTCAAAAGATGTTTTGGTTTGTAAAGATACGAGGCGAATTGTAGTATAATAGCATCCCAGGTGTGTTGATCCAGATTGTGAGTAAATCTTGTTTCAGCCCCAAATAAGAATGAGAATTTTTGCATTTCAAAATCAACATATTTTTTAACGTCAAGTAAGTCAATGAGAGAAGAGAAAAACGCATTTCCTTCTGATATAAGCGCTGAAACAATATGGCTGTCATAGTCGAAAGCATGCCTATTACAGAGCATGCACTCTTTTTGAAGTTTACTGCGTGATGAGACTTTCACACAAAGTTGTAAAGCAGGTCGATATTCCGGGTACAGAAAAGCTATTTGCCAAAGTACATGGTATGTTAATTTCGTATGAATTCTCTTATAACGGGACATGCTTGCGTTATTTGATACATTTGTGAGCCATAATTGTTCTTCGTATTTGCATATAGTTTCATTAACATGATTTCTCAATTTCAATTTTGAAGGGAAAGTACCGTACAGAGTATATGTATATACTCGTATGTATCAAATTCACATTGGTACATGAGTGTATCATCTTGACTTGCTTTGTTCCGTTTTGGAAGGGAGGGGGGGGGGGGGGGGGGGGGGGAGATATTGACAATATACTGACATAATAAACATGGGAGGTGATGTGACACCCTATAAGGGCATGTATCTATGACAAGGAGATCGGTAACATGGTCCTTTATCCACGAGGGTAGCAGGATATAGTCAATCATACTCTTAGGGGTGTTATCCTTGGATCTACATGTATAACGTGGGGAATGGGATGCGAGCTCACTAATGGTGTGTAGGAGGTGTCTATCAGATATAGCAGTGCTAACTAGCTTATCCCGGGCAGTGAAATTATGCTTACACATATCTGCATTACGATCACCAAGTAAATAAAAGTAGATAAAAGTATCACCCTCTTCACAGAGATCGTTAAGGGCGTCACAATACAAAGAATGTAGTACAATAGTTGAAGGTAGAAAACATGCTGTTACATAAATATCACAGTAGTGTCGCTAGTTAGTTTGATAGCTACTGCGTGGTCTGTGCTTACAATGATAGAGTGAGCTTTCCACTCGCTGTTGATATTAACTAAGATTGCCAATCCATCTGATCCCCGAAAACAACATGTATCCGGGGAAACAGCATTTTAGGATATCAAATTTAGATCCTGAAACATATTTAATTTAGACATTCTATTTGCCGGTCACCAATGCTCCTGTAGAGCCACAACATCAGCATGTCGAGACAATGTCTGACGAATACAGTCCGTACCGTGGAGTACTCCACGTTCATGCCAAGTTAATAATGACAGCGTCATTAGGAGTTCGCCCACCTTGCTCACAGTTTCCCTTCTAAACTGGATGTGACACATGGATGTTTTATTACCTTATTCTCCTTCATTAGTCGGACAAAGGTGACACGCACACGCATATCCTGGGCGTACTCGTATGTCAGATCTTTGACAGAGTCAAATGGTTCATCAGCTTTGATGTTGTACAGATAGAACTAGTCGTTTTGTCCGGATTCTCGGTACACCTTCTAGGGCGTGATGCGTCTTTGCCAGTGATCTGATGTTTCGGTTTCTCGTGGGTGAGATGGTTATCAGTGGGGGATCGGTAGGTTCTGCTCGAGCTCACCTGTTGCCACGGCTCTGTTTCACGGTGTTCATCGTGGTGGGTGAAGTCATAGTCGTAGTTCCGTTCAGTTAGATCAAGGTTTTTGTGTCCTGATCTAGCCTTGCCCGTAGCGATGTTATCTGGTGTAGGTGTTGTCTCACGTTCACGACGTTGGGTGTCTGAGTGTACAGATGTATTTGACATCGATGCTTTTGGAGACGTAGTTGTGGTAGATGGTCCATCTCTTTTATGTGATTCGACTGCATGAGCTACTGTCGTGTTGTGTTTATTTTCACCAGTAGTTTTATGCTTGTTAGATATAGTGGTAATCTTGCTTTCGATGACTTTAAGTTTGGAATCAACTGAGTAGTTCAACCGGAGGATTTCATTTTCCAGTTCAATAATATGATCACGATATGATTTGTTTTGTTGATTGTACAACTTAAGCTCTGCCCTCAGCTCCGTGTGCCTGTCTTCAGAGTTGCTCCGTTTGTTATTTAGTTCATTGACAAGATTGTACTTATCACAGATAGCACCTTTTGCGGCGGAATTTGTTTTCCAATTGTGCTAATTTGTTTTCAGACATATCATTTCCACGAGCAATGCACTGTTTTATCTTTATAACATGGCTGAGAATCGTAGATATTGAGTCATTCTCATCGAATGGTAAGACGTGAGCTGCTGTCTGATCAGTTGTATTGTCATCCTCTTCATTAGGCGAACACATAGACTGGTTTCCCATCGATGTAATACTTGCTCCGCTGAGTACCTTTGCTTGCAATACATGATCCGGTATGCCACCTTCGACTGTATCCCTTGCATGGTCATAATTACTTTGACGTATGTGATTCAGCTCACTTAGGTCACTCTTGTATATCTCAATCAAAGATTGTTGGAAGGACTCTGTGTCGTTGTGTCCCAGCTTACGCTTGACTCTGTCATAGATTGCTTTATCCAGACTTGGCTGGGTGTTGTAGAATGTTTCCTCAACATCGGTCATTGTTAACCAATCAAGGTAGAAGCCTCCGAACTCGGCTGGTACGTGAGCTCCAATCAGCTACGAACACACAGCACGTTGTAATGATATGGAAAGTTTTAAGTTATTTCAAATAAAGTAGGAACTGTTATGAAAAAGTAATTTCATAAATCAAATCAGTACCTTGAGATGTCCATACTAGACATGTTTTTGCATCGTGGACATGTTTGTTGTCTGCTGAATATCATTTCAGCATATCTTTAGAATGCACCATTAAAGACAAATAACTTTACCAATATTGTTTACACATATGGTAAATAACAGAATATTTACAGAACGATTTTTTTATTTTTTGAAATATGCTTGTCCATGGCTTATGTTTTGGTTGGCTAGTGACAATTATTTGTTATTATATTTGCAAAGTGGTGTACAGATCAAAAGTGACACAAGACAGCCCCACCTTGCTCTACACCTTGCTCTACACCCCATCTCAGACATCTCATAACTACAACTCAGAAGCTTTAGAATGACTTAGAAGCTTGTGGTAGTGTAGTCCACAAAGGCTCATAGCCATGTGATACTGATATAACCCACCCCCACTAAGTTGGTGTGGAATGGGCTGTTTCGGCCTCCAGACTTCGTCCCCAACAGTGGCCAGTGGCCAGTGGCCTTTTAACATATTGGTACAAAGCGGCTGATGTTGGAGGAATGGAATAGTTCTGTGCCTGCCTCATGATCTCCTGTCCAGATAAAGATACTGACCCAATCATATTTCAGGTCTAACATCGCGTGCAAAGAAGGCTTCAATTTATGTAATGCCTGCTTGTCATAAAGTGGGAGGTTTTACACTGAAATTTCAATTATTTGATTCCTAAAGTCGACGGATCAAAATATTGTGAATACTAATTATACATTTTTGTCCGTCAGACAAATGACAAGCAGTGTCTTCATTTCCCAACATGTCAAAAAATCAAATAAACAAAGGTAATAGATATGTCATTGAAACAATGACTGATCAGCGCCTACCAGGGGCAAGACCTAAATTCCTCTTTGCCTGAAAAACGCTCGTGTGTCGAATCTATACCTTCACAGCATTCCGTTGTGTTACACACTTGCCCAAACAACGCTATTTTGTAGCAGATTTGACTAAACAACACCCTTTTTATGTCACTGTTGCTTGGCCAACAACGCTCTTTTGTCTCAGACTTACCTGGACGACACTCATTTGTGTTGATTTGCCTGACAAAATTAACTCTTTGTCCATAACTTTACTCAGATTAACTTAAACAATGATCTTTTGATGTCAGCCGTACCTGGAGACCACTCCTTTGTCTCAGACTAACTTAAACAATGCTCTTGTTATCAGCCGTACCTGGACAACACGTTTTCGTGTTCCTCTGCCACCTGGCTTCTGTACAGTCTGTGCCGCCATTACTGGGAGGAGGGTTGGAGCATGTTCTGTTTCTGGTCCTGGTCAAAGTTGTGTTGACCGCCCCGTCACATGACCCTGGACACGGGGGGTCATCCCATTGATCCCACTCAGATATACCGCCGTCCACTAGCAGAAGAAGGACACACTTGATATGGTGTATGTGGTTGGATAAACTTTAATCAATGTTTTGGTTACTTCAATTTTGCAATGAACCATCAGTAATACTTAATGCATATCAGAATGCAGTACCATGGATATATACTGATAGACACATACAAGGGTACACATTGGAATATGCAATTGGCGGGTGTGAGTCCTTCGCGAACACCTGGTGTCATCACTGATTTCCAGTGGTCCGTTCATATTATTCTCACAGCTATTTTTCCCTTTACTCCATGTGGAATCTATTTCGGCGCATGATCTAGACCTCTTATTGTCTTGCATTGACAATACATATTTTCGAGAACACCTGGTATCGTCCTTATTTCATATGGTCACTAAGTCTTTGATTGTGTTATGGAGCTTGAATCGAACAATGGACATTTTGCACAGATTACTTTTGATTATAGAAAGGGATTTGTAGGTTATATTTCTGACTATAAACAATCATACAGCAACTGTCTCTTGGCATTTACTGTTCGTCAAATATTCTTTGCGTGATTGTTTATCATTTAAGTATCCGTGTTGAGTCTGAAGGGCCATGTGGAGATCTATGGACAACGTTCAACCTACCTGCACAGTTGGATAAGTTACAGTTCACCGTTTTCGTCTGTTCAAACGGCCCAGTGCAGTTTCCGCTGTCATTCTGTGGACTTGGATACATGCAAGTCCTTACTCTCGTGACCGTCTTGGAGGCTGATGATCCGCATGTGACGTCACAGGTTTGATTAATCCATTGTCCCCATGTATTAAACCCCACGTCATCTGTGAATGTTTCCATCAATATATCATACATGCACTACAAAGTTTGCTTTAGACATCTAAGCTTCCACACAGGAACACCTGGTGTAGTAACTGGTTTACAGTGATCCATTCATATAACTATCACTGCTATTTTGCCTTTTACATCCTGTGTAATCTGTTTCGTTGGATAATCAAAACTGGCTTTCCTCTGAGGTTTTGGCACCTAAACAGTGAGGCTAACATTGTTTCTAACATTCGATTTGGAGTTTTGACATAGACTTGTTTACATGTTGTATTGTATATTTAATAGAGTTTTGACTAAAAGTACATTCCGGATACACATAACCAGGTTTATCAAGCTGTTATGTTTTGGCCTAGAAACAGCGTCCTGTAGTTGTATTTACTGCATGTATAGATGTTTCCTCCATGTATCTACAGAGATCAAGATGTGTTTTCCGCTGACCATCGTTCGTGTTTCGAGTTCTGACTGTATCCCTTTCAAATTTTTTTTGTTAACATCAATATGGATCAAATTTAAAAAACAAATACAACAGGCAAAAATAAGGTATATGTATACAACCCAGAGGTGTAAGGCGGTTCGTTGTACAGCATCCGCTAGTTGAGAGTTTGAGTCTGGACTTATCCTGATTGTATATGATCCAGTGTCGAGTTTTACCAAAGTAGTAAACGTTCACGACCTGAGACAGTTTGGACTCCCACCACGGTACTTTCATTGCCCACCGACTTCTTGCAAAGACTAATTTAGTGATGTCTCATGACACGGTCGGAATCGAATAATGGACAGTGCTTTTAGCAGATACTTCTGTTGATTATGGAAAGTGTTTTGTCGCATATATATTCAAGACAACCTATAGAAAGTAGATAAATAGGTCTCACCTTGGCAGTTTGGAAGCTGACAATTTCTATCCTCAAATTTATATGCATCCCCAATGCAATAACGCCCACCATTGCTTGGTACAGGGCTGTCGCATCGTCTGGTTTTCTCTACCCTCCTCGTGGCTGATGCGCCACATGTTACTGCGCATGACGGATTGGTCCACCGTGTCCACTGCGAGAACCCTCCATGTACTGGAATGCAAGCATGACAAACATTGTTGATGATAGAATTCAAACCGCCAATATCAGAGAATAATCAGTATCGATTATCTGCCTAAACAGATTCCACAGAGGTAAAAGAAAAACATTTATGAAAATATTACGAATGGATTACTGAAAAAGGAATGACACCAGGCGTTTACGAAAAGGAAATGCATGTCCTGTGCTATCGGTAGCACCTAATCCACACACACACTTTCCATTAAAAAACAAATGTCTTTTTGTTGTCTTACGTTAGACTCAGCAAAACTCCGCGAAGGCGGCCTGAAAAGAATCAAGTCTGGACCAGACAATACAGTGATTGGTGTCATGAGAAATAATCATGTCGTCGGGGTACGACCCCATGCTGTCAACCAAATACGCCAAGACACCAAATCAGCTAAGTGATGAGGTACGGGAGGAAAAGACACAGCATATATTCGAATATTATGAGCTGGGTTTGACACTGATTTGAACACTATTTCTGTTACACAGTGAAGGATTGAGATGGGTTTTGCGCCGAATTTAGCACTAGTCCAGCAAATAAACGTCAGGGGACACCAGAAATGGGCTTTACGCATTGTAGCCATGTGTGGACATGGGGAGACGAGCGAAGGCTTTAACCACCAACTAGGCTATCCCTCCGAACCAGTCCTTTAACGGCGTGAGAGGCAAGTCCGAAGTGATGCCGGTCTTACACTTTTATATCTTTAGTGAAACACACGAGCACGGGCATTGTGCTGTCAAACCAAGAAACATAATCAGGGTCCACCGGATCCGAAATAATAATCATGGTTTTCTGCTAGTCAACATTGAGCCTGTCCTATATTGTTTTCAAATATACCACAGTAGTGATGAAATTACCTGCGGTAAGGTTTTGAGGGAATAGATAAGACATAAAAAACAAATTAAAAGAGGAATTAAAAAAAAATAATAGGTTCTTCTAGCCACGTGATCAGATCATGTGCATGGGTGCAGGTGTAGGTGCAGGTACAGCCACAGTATCATTACATCCGTTGACAAAAAAACACAATATCATTTATTCAGTACAAAATTTCATCTCACCTGGACAGGGACCAAATGTGCAGCTTACAAATTTTGTCTCCTTAGAACTTCCCGTGCATGGTTGTCCGCTTCTGCTTGGTGGAGGGTTGCTGCAGCTCCGTGTTCTCTGCACCTGCGTCGTGGCTGTTGTTCCACATGTTACTGCGCATGACGGAGTGGTCCACTCCGACCACGCTGAGAACCCTCCATCAACTGCAGAAAACATCATCCGACAATAGTCACAGTTATCATTAACATAACAGTGAACTACTGGTGTTATCTAAAAGTAATTTTAGGTATGAAGTGATTAACTATTCCATTTATTTTCATGAAGTAAAATATCACTTTCACACCAATAATATCGTTTCCAGACTAAGATCAGTAAGAAATAAATTGTCATGTCACATAACGTGTTTATTTCACAAAGTGGACTGATAAATGGGATATGTTCATGAGTCGTACAGACAAATATAGTATTTTATCATTTAACATTCTTAACTAGTTACAATCATTTTTCAAGTACCGTGTTTTCTAATCTACTGGACCACCTCCGTGGTCTGGTGGGGAGATATAACGTAGTTCGAATATGTGATGGGTGCAGGTACAACCGTAGTATCGTTCCATCCGTTGACAAAAACGCACAATATCAAATAATGTTATCAATACAAAAGTTTATCACACCTGGACAGTCGGTCAAGTTGCAGTTTACAACTGCACTCTCAGCAGAACTTCCCCTGCAAGGTGATCCGCCAAAGCTAGGTAGAGGGTTGTTGCAGCTCCGATGTCTCTGCACCAGCGTCGTGACTGATGAGCCACACGTTACTGCGCATGACGGATTGGACCACTGTGTCCACTGCGAGAAACCTCCATGTACTGGAACGCAAGCAAAACAAACATTGTTGTTAATAGAATTCAAACCGCCAATATCAGAGAATAATCAGTATCAATTATCTGCCATAACAGATTCCATAGGGCGTGAAAGAAAAATACATTTACAGAAATAATATGAATGAATAAGTGAAAAAAGGAATGACACCAGGTGTTTGAGAAAAGGAAAAGCATGTCCTGTGCTATCGGTAGCACCTGATACATACACACTTTCAATTACAAACAAATGTTTTTTTGTTGTCTAACGTTGGATCCAGCAATACTCCTGATGTGTGAAGGCGGCCTGAAAAGAATCAAGTCTGGACCAGACAATACAGTGATTGGTATCATGAGAAATAATCATGTCGTCGGGGTACGACCCCATGCTGTCAACCAAATACGCCAAGACACCAAATCAGCTAAGTGATGTGGTACGGGAGGAAAAGGCACAGCATATATTCGAATATTATGACCTGGGTTCGACACTGATTTGAACACTATTTCTGTTACACAGTGAAGGATTGAGATGGGTTTTGCGCCGAATTTAGCACTAGTCCAGCAAATAAACGTCAGGGGACACCAGATATGGGCTTTACGCATTGTAGCCATGTGTGGACATTGGGAGACGAGCGAAGGCTTTAACCACCAACTAGGCTATCCCTCCGAACCAGTCCTTTAACGGCGTGAGAGGCAAGTCCGAAGTGATGCCGGTCTTACACTTTTATATCTTTAGTGAAACACACGAGCACGGGCATTGTGCTGTCAAACCAAGAAACATAATCAGGGTCCACCGGATCCGAAATAATAATCATGGTTTTCTGCTAGTCAACATTGAGCCTGTCCTATATTATATTCAAATATACCACAGTAGTGATGAAATTACCTGCGGTAAGGTTTTGAGGGAATAGATAAAGACATAAAAGACAAATTAAAAGAGGAATTAAAAAATAATAATAGGTACTTCTAGCCACGTGATCAGATCATGTGCATGGGTGCAGGTGCAGGTACAGGTACAGCCACAGTATCATTACATCCGTTGACAAAAAAGCACAATATCATTTATTCAGTACAAAATTTCATCTCACCTGGACAGGGACCAAATGTGCAGCTTACAAATTTTGTCTCCTTAGAACTTCCCGTGCATGGTTGTCCGCTTCTGCTTGGCGGAGGGTTGCTGCAGCTCCGTGTTCTCTGCACCTGCGTCGTGGCTGTTGTTCCACATGTTACTGCGCATGACGGAGTGGTCCACTCCGACCACGCTGAGAACCCTCCATCAACTGCAGAAAACATCATCCGACAATAGTCACAGTTATCATTAACATAACAGTGAACTACTGATGTTATTTCAATGTGGTTTTACATTTACATAATTATCACGCTAGTAATATCGTTTCCAGAAGTGGATCAGTAAGAAAAAACTATTCATGTCACGCAGCATGTTTATGTTACCAAGATGAGATTATCATGGTGGTGCAGATAAATGTAGTATTTTATCACTAAACATTCTGGACTAGCTAAAGTTATTTTTCAAGTAATTTACTACTCTTGTGTCTTAATGATTACTAGATAACATAAGTATTGCACAAATTTTCACTGTATTTAAGATCAGTATCACATGTGTGTTAATGTTTATTAAGTAAGGAATGTTCAGTAAGGCCTACAACGTCTTACAGCTCCATCACATAAACATTGATATGTCACAAGCCATTCGTGTTTGGTAGGTTGACACTTAATAGTCAATATAAACTGCACAGCACAAGATAGGGCAAGATTTCAAGTGTATAAGTATTCAATATGATTATTAGTTTATTCTTCTCTACACGTTTCAGGTTAATAACTTGCTGAATCACGGCACTGCATGCTCCATGTGTTAAACAGCATGTACAGCTTAGTGACCTCATCAAAAACATTCCGGACTCCTTTTGAAACATGAGTCCTAATGCAAGGTGAATACAATGTCACCACTTCGTGATATGATTTGAAAAGTTTTCAATAGCCCAACATTTATGAAAGGACTTCTCAAATAACGGCATGCACCTTAAGTGCAGTAGTTTGAAGCCAAACCATAGGCTGCCTAAGAAATAATGCCATAGTCTCATTTGTAAAGTTCGTCTTTGGGATACAACAGCACATGGTCGACGTTATCAAAAGTCGGTGAATCCTGTGTGTAGGTAGACATTGGTGTAAGGTTCTGCAGGCTGTTTGTGAAACTTAACCAACTGTATGCTTGTGTTATGCGTGAGGACGATGTTACATATATTTGATAGTCGTTATAATAACTGGTACATGTATGTACATCTTAACAATGAAAAAACATTTACAAACCTAAGAGAGTCTGAGAGGGTTGGCTCAAGGCATGAGACCCATGAGACCTCGGGGTATTTTGTTGTTTGTGACAATAAGGCTTACTGGAGCAATCCCATCCACATATAAGTATATGCCAATAAGTATCAACGAATAAAAGTATGAATCACTTGCCAGTGGTGTAAAGCTGCATTGGCCAGCTGTGAAACGTACACAACTGTGTGTACCTGAAGACGATGTTACGTTTATTTGGCATTCGTTTTATAACTGGGACATGTGTTGTGTTAATCCGAACAATGAAAAAACATTTACAAGATACACGTGTCTGAGAGGGATAAATCTAGGCTAGAGGCCCATTTCTAGTGTAGGTTAGAGTTTGTTGTTGGTGACAATGAGACATTGTGATTAGGATATTACTTGGGATATCCCATCCACCTAGAAGTGTATGACAACAACTATCAGCGAATGAAAGTATCACTTACTTTGACATGTCACCGGGATAGCAGTTGCCAGTAGGGTCAGTATCAGTGTCAGGTAAGGACTGACCATCATATACCTCAGACACTCGGAAACAGTTGATCCCTTGACATACACGATGCACCCTGCTCGTAATTGAACTGGTTTGGAGTGAACAAGAACTCAAAATGGCAACACGTTTTCGCAATACCAGACTGATCACTTTTATAACATGAATAAATGTATCCCGACTATTCGGTAAACTTTCGCTTGACCTAGTTTGCTTAGAGGAACACACAATGGCAGTATGTCATGTGGGCATTCAGAACACCACCCGTCTACACGGCTATCAATAGCAACGTGAGCAAACGCTTTGAGCAGCGAGAACAAGGAAGTGTTTCCTTGGATTCGGTATGTAATATTACACCTTCTAATGTCATATTGATATACACGAGAACAGATGATAAATAACATATATGTAACACTTGTGTTGAGGTTTGAGGTTTCATACTAGAATTTAAATATAATCCACATGTCAGATTACAGTAAAATAAGTTACTAACGAACAAGCTTATAACGAACTCACTGATATGACGAATTTATTTCTTGGTCGCGGATATTGGCTGTTTATATTCTGTATACATGCTTATAACGAACTACGGCTATAACGACCTAAACCTAGTGGCCCCTTTGAGTTCGTTATAACCATCGTTTACTGTATAAGTACCTCAAAGCAATATGTACATTTTGATCACACTGATATTTCGAAAGACATTCGGGTAGCCTAGTGGTTAAGGCGTTCGCTCGTCACGCCGAAGACCCGGGTTCGATTCCCGACATGGATACAATATGTGAAGCCCATTTCTGGTGTCCCCCGCCGTGATATTGCTGGAATATTGCTAAAAGCGGCGTAAAATCAAACTCAGTCAGTCGAAAGACATTCAATGTATATGCAAGTACTATTTCAAATTGTATGAATCATTTCAAGTCCCAGGTTTTCTGGGCGTTCATCTGAATCTGAGGCAGAGATTCTCCTGTGTTTAGTTATATAGCTTTTAAATTTGCCGTTTCTGACTGTTGCATACAAAAGGAATTATTCACATTCCAACTCACTTCAACATTCAAAAAATAATTATAAGAATATGACACAATACAAACGAATTGACTGATATTACGAACTTATTTCTTGGTTGCTGCCATTTGCTTTTTACATGCTGTATATATGCTTATGACGAACTATGGTTATAAAGAACGAAAAATGAATGTCCTCTTTGAGTTCGTTATGTTTTTCAACATTTTGCGACAGAGATTAGTCCTGAACAAGCGAAATTTCATTTCACACACACATCATAGACATACACACCACACACACACACGCAAACAAACATATACATACACACACATACGCATATCACAAACATACACACCACACACCAACTACTTCATTACCTGATTAATTAATTTCTCTAAATGACAATGGTCAATTTGTGAATGAATAAATGAATAGCATTGCTTTTCAGTACCCATTCCTTTACTTTTCACTGCAAATTGCCTTTAAACACTCAATGAATATGGTTCTTGAGACGGAGTATTCTTTGTCGTTGACGTTTTATTTTTGTTGTAATTCACTTGGTTGTCTAGATCTGTTTTACTACTTTACTATACTGTTTGATGAACATTGTTTCAATGAATATATAACTTGCTCTCGCTAGTCAGTGGTCGTTATCTTTGCCGTACATAGAAATATTCATATTTAAGACAGAAACAGTTTCCTTAATTGTATCAATAGTTTGACAAGCTACAAAGAACAAATATAAAGTATGTCAGGCTTACTTGCTAACACAACAAACCTGGTGTTCAGAGCTTATACGTATTTTTTTTAAACCAAAAAAGTCAATAATCAATAAATGCGCAATACATGTGATATGAGAGAATAAAATCTCCTTATATCACGATTGTGACAGAAGAGAAGACCATCAAATCAAATATGCGAGGCATAGTCATTCAAAGCGACACATAGCTCAACCATGGACTTACGACGCCTTTGTGGATACAACACACGCTGTCGGTAGAGCTGTGTAAATCTCGGTCAGGATTGTGTTGTGTTTTTACCGACCAGGACATCAGGCTGTAAAGAGGAACAGATTGAAAACCAGTTTGATCGGACACCAGTGCCTGCTGGTTAATGCTATTAATGTTCTGGCCTTTCAGGGGTCGTCTACCTGTAGGATTCCTTTAGATCACAGATAACGGAAGCCACCACTTTGCCAGCTGATGGGACAGGCTTTGCCTTCCTTGGAGGAAGGGATTTAGATGTCAACGTTTTCCACTCCTTTGACTGTTGTTTAGTCTCTGACTGATAGCGATGAGCCCAAGACTCATCCATGGTTACAAGTCGTTCCACAAAATCAGCTGCTTCAAAATATGATGAAACTGGAACTGACCATTGACCATTGACCAGTTTCTTCCTCATGATCAGAATGCTTTCAACACTCTCTTTGTGACGTGTGAGTCGTCGTTCATCCATAATCACATATATTTATCAATATTGTCTAACATCGTGTCATCTTAATACTTTTTAAGGCTCTTTCTTCCCGTCTTGAACTGTGCAGCCAACCTCTTAAAACTTGCAAAGGGACATCCCTTTGTTCATATAGCTGTTGGAGTTCGCCCTTTAAGTTGGAAATACTCGATAACAGTGCAGTAAAAAGTTTTTCGATGTCGTCAACAGAGAATACCTAGTGACTTAGATGCCTGTTGTGTGCTAAGTTCAGATGCAGGCTGTAAGCATTGAAAGTATTGAACATCATACATGCAAACAGTTAAGTGTGAACTATACATCCTTCGTAGCTAGATTCAGGACAGTCCATCCACGCCAAGTATCTTCATGGTAGTGTTCTTCAATAGCAGCAAAAAAGGACAAAATTTAACATGGAAAACAATACATTGATCTGAGCGAATGGATTTATTCAATAGTTTTTTGTTAATGAACAATGTTAAGTAACTAATACCACAGTATACAATTATGTCACTGACCGGATATACTTCTTGTGAAGTTTAAATAGTTACATGTAATGTTAGGTTTCCAGCACTATACGCACGTGTACATCTTAACATTAATGTGTACTCTGCATTCGTTATTTAAAGATGACTTAAGCCATGTCTTATGATCATGGAGAGGGTTTTGCCGTTTATATGTACACCGTGAAATCCCATGGATCACTTAATATACTGTAATGAGTTTTTTAGAGTTCATGACATTCAGACTGCTGATCGATCCACGCAATTGGGATCGATGACATGCATCAATCAAGTCAGCGAGCCTGACCACCCAATCCCGTTAGTCGCCTTTTACGGCAAGCATGGGTTGTTGAAGACCTATTTTACCCCGGATCTTCACGGACCGACAGCTTGATGTCACTGGAGAACAGGTGAGTTGGGTCAAGCGCCTCATACTCTAGAGTGACCAGGCACAGCAAGGGAAAGTCTGTCTGATGTTAATCTCCGCGACCCTGCCGTTACAACGTCGAGTATTCTTCAACATTAATTGCTAAACATTAATGTCATGTTAGGACTGTACCATAAGTGAGGTGAAATGGGGTTTAAGGTCGCGTCCATGTTTACTGCACTAATATGGCGACGTGCATGCACGTGTGTGTGTGGCTGCTTGTACTTGTCCGGACTAATGCCGATTTAAAGTGCTAGCTCAATGAGACACCATGCCGCAGTTTAACATAAATACCCCACTCAGACACAGTACACTGACTCCGAGCCAACCAATCCTTGTTTTAGCCCCTTAATGCCGAGCGCCAGACGGGTTAACAACAAGTATCATCTGTTAACGTCTTTTGGTATGACGCGGCTGAGGATCGAACCCCGGACCTTCCGCTCTCCGGGCAGACGCTCTACCACTAGACCACGGATGCGGTTCGCTAATAGTTAGAAGGGTTAGAGTGCTATAGTTTGGAGTGAACGGTGCTACATAACGGACAGTGGTTAAACATGTGATTTAGGTCTTCGGGCTGATTACAGTGATTGCAGTTATCAGTGTCATGACGGTGTTGTTTATATAGATTGTAATTGAGAGTTGTGTTGCCACTTATTATTCGGGATATAATTTGGTAACAAAATGTCGAATTGTTGTAATTGTGGAATTTGTAGAGTTTTTTTTATAAAATAGGCTTTTAAGCCATGTCGAGTTAGAATTTTGAACACAGTTTTTGAAATTTTAAATTTTGATGTAGTTTTTTACTTTAGATTTTATCTCGGCTTTAGAAGTATGGTGTGAGTGAGTGATTTGGGTTTAACGCCACTTTTAAAAGTATTCCAGTTATATTACGGTAGTTATTGGGGGTCTTGGTCAATGTGGATACCTAGCTCTGTTTTGTTGGTTTTGTCTTGAGATGCGGCAGAGTAGATGGGTGTATGTGATACCAGGTAGAGTGTATATGGTGTATATGTATCAACAGCCTTGCTGAAGTCCATAAAGGTGTGTTGTTTTTGTGCTTGTGCTGTCCTAATGTCCTGTTCCAAATGTACAATATGGTCTTAAGTCTGTCTGTTGTTAGTGAAGCCGCTCTGGCCAGGGCTAATAAGGTTATTTACAGACATGTGATGTTTGAGCCTGTTATTTATATTTGATTCAAGAATTTTACATAAGTGAGAGGTTAAAGATATGGGCTGGTAGGAGTCAGGCTCATTTTGGGGTTTCCTGGCTTCAGGACTGGTATCACTTTAACGTGTTTCCAAGATTGAGGTGCCAGATTTCCAGATTTTAGGGTTGTAAGATCAAGTGTTGTATTTCAGTGGGGATTTTGTTTAGTATAATATAGCTGATGTCTAATTCTGTGGCGGATGCTGTATTTTTGTTTTTTAGGGCTGTTTGCAATTCGTGAATGTTGAGTATTTTGTTGATGGGTAGGTGGGAGAGGCCTGGTTATTTAATGAATGTGGGGTGCTGTTTGATGTTGTTTTGGAATTGGGGTGGGTAGTTGGTGGAGCTACTGGTTTTAGCAAAATGGGGAGCAATAACATTGGCGTTTTCTTTATTTGTGGTTAGGTCCTTGAAGTTTGAGAAAACTTTTTTTTAAGTACCTGGTAAGGCTTAAATGTTTTTTCATATTTTCCTGAAATTATGTTTGCCATTTTTTAAGGTATTACACAAAGTTTGCCAGTGGCTTTTTCTTGCTGCCTCAATAAGTTCTTTAGTTTGGTTTCTAAGATTTATAAATAAAGATAATTTTGAACGGTCTCTCTCTGGTTTATTCAGAGCCTTTTTTCTAAGTTTTCTTATTTTATCAATTCAGGGCCGCACCATGGGACTGAGTTATGGGTGGGGGACATGGTGAAGGTTGGGATGCATTTAATAGCTATGTCATATAGTGTAGTAGTGAGGTTTGTGTTGAATGTGTTTATGTTTTTGTCGTGTATGTCTGTTTGATTGCATAGTTTTGTAAATAATTGCCAGTTAGCTTTTTAAAAATTAAATTTCGTTTGCTGGGGCGTGCCTAAAGGGGTGTCAGTTGGGTAGGGTTTGGGATAATAAGGTATATTTAAAGACATTTAATGGGGCAGTGGTCGCTGCCCCCGGTGTCATTACGGGCTTCCCAGCTGGTTTTCGTTTTACATATTTCCTGTGGTTATTGAAATGTCCACTGCTGTAGGGTTGTGGAGATATTACAGCAATATTACAGCTACATGACGGCGGTCTGTAAATAATCGTGTCTGGACCAGACAATCTAGTGATTGACATCATGAGCATCGATCCACGCAATAGGGATCGATGACATGCTTCAAACCAAGTCAGCGAGCCTGACCACCCGATCCCGTTGATCGCCTCTTACGAAAGTTTTCTTTTAGATTACTCGATAAAAATAAGTATTGGACAAATCACGGCACTGAATGAGTCATGAATTAAACAACATTACAGCATATTGACCTCATCAATAACATTGTGGATTTCTTTTTGCACCATGCATCCTAAAGCAAGGTGAAAACGATGGAAATTGGGATATGGAAATTGTGAAATTGTGTTGTGATATGGCTTGAATAGTATTGAATAGCCAAACATATCCGAAAGGACTTGGCTGTTTTGTGCCAATTCATAGGCCGCATAATTCAGAAGTTTGAGTCGTCGCTTTCGTCTCGTGAATACATCACCACATGGTCGACGTTATCAAAAGAAGGCTATAGTGTGTAGGTAAATATCGGTGTAAGGATCCTTAGGCTAGCTGTGAAACATACTCTCCTGTATGGTTGTGTTGTGAGCTAATTCGACGTTGCATGTACTTGACATTCGTTTTAGAACTAGTGTAAGCGGTGTGTTATTCCGAACAATGAAGAAGCATTTACCAAGCTAAGAGTGTTCAAGGGGCATGAAATTAGGCTGGGGCTCTTTTCTAAAGTAGGTTTGATCTAGTTGTTTGTGACATGTGAATACGATGAAACATCTCCAGTGTTGACTGGACCTTGTTGTTTGTGGCATGTGAATAAGATGAAACATATCCTGTGTTGGCTGGACCTTGTTGTTTATGACATGTGAATAAGATGAAACATATCCTGTGTTGACTGGACCTTGTTGTTTGTGGCATGTGAATAAGATGAAACATATCCTGTGTTGGCTGGACCTTGTTGTTTATGACGTGTGAATAAGATGAAACATATCCAGTGTTGGCTGGACCTTGTTGTTTGTGACATGTGAATAAGATGAAACATATCCTGTGTTGGCTGGACCTTGTTGTTTATGACGTGTGAATAAGATGAAACATATCCTGTGTTGGCTGGACCTTGTTGTTTATGACGTGTGAATAAGATGAAACATATCCTGTCTTGGCTGGACCTTGTTGTTTATGACATGTGAATAAGATGAAACATATCCGGTGTTGGCTGGACCTTGTTGTTTGTGACGTGTGAATAAGATGAAACATATCCTGTGTTGGCTGGACCTTGTTGTTTATGACATGTGAATAAGATGAAACATATCCTGTGTTGGCTGGACCTTGTTGTTTATGACATGTGAATAAGATGAAACATATCCCGTGTTGGCTGGACCTTGTTGTTTGTGGCATGTGAATAAGATGAAACATATCCTGTGTTGGCTGGACCTTGTTGTTTGTGGCATGTGAATAAGATGAAACATATCCTGTGTTGGCTGGACCTTGTTGTTTGTGGCACGTGAATAAGATGAAACATATCCTGTGTTGGCTGGACCTTGTTGTTTGTGAAATGTGAATAAGATGAAACATATCCTGTGTTTGCTGGACCTTGTTGTTTGTGACATGTGAATAAGATGAAACATATCCTATGTTGGCTGGACCTTGTTGTTTATGACATGTGAATAAGATGAAACATCTCCAGTATTGACTGGACCTTGTTGTTTATGACATGTGAATAAGATGAAACATATCCGGTGTTGTCTGGACCTTGTTGTTTATGACGTGTGAACAAGATGAAACATATCCTGTGTTGGCTGGACCTTGTTGTTTGTGACATGTGAATAAGATAAAACATATCCTGTGTTTGTGACAATTAGATTAGATTAGAGTAATTTCATATGGATGATACGTTCATCATCATCATCATCATCATCATCATCATCATCAAATGTTATGCCAGACTAAGAAAGTGGCATTTAAAATTAAACTATGACTGCAAATTGATTTAACTCTGTTGCAGTTTTTTTTTTTTTATCGAATCTAAAACCTGCAAGTTTTGAACCAGGCTTCCCGTTTTGAAACCATTACTGTATGAATCCCATCCACTATATAATTATATGACAAACAAAGTCAACATTTGAAAGTATCACTGACTTTGCAAGGACAGCGGGAGGGCAGCTGTCACAAGTGTCAGTATAATGTTAAGTTAGAACTGACCATCATATACCTCAGACACTCCAAACCAGTTGATCCCGTGACATATACGCTACACCCTGCTCGTCGTTAAACCAGTTTGGAGTGAATACGAACTGAAAATGGTAACACGTTATCGCAATGCCAAGTTGATCTCTTTTGTACCTTGAATACATGAATACAACTCTCGTTTCACCTCGTTTGTTCAGAGGTTTGCTCACTAACACACAATGACGTTGTCTCCTATAGGCATTCCGAACGCCATCAGCCTACGCGGCTATCAATAGGCTATCAATAGGAACTTGAGCAAACGTTTTGCAAAATAAGAACAACGATTGCATTGCTGTTATTGCATACGTAGTATTACAACTTCTAATGTCATATTGATATAACTTACAACAAAGAATAAATAACATATCCAGTGCACTGATATTTCGGGGTTCATACTAAGAATACATTTCTGTTATCATTGATTTCATTGATATCTGCTTGACATAGTCATGTCACACATTATCTTGCTCCAGAGCCTGAGGAATCGTACATCCGTCACCCCTAATTGGCTCCTTTAAATTTGGGTATGGATGAACATTCATTCTTCCCAAATACTAGGGGGGCACTTGTGTAAGATTTTGGTGACAATCGTATTCTGTAACCAAAATATAATCCATTTATATGACATATTCTGTAATTTGTTAAATTTGCACAAACCGTTTTGTTAAACGACATGTCATAGACGATAAAAGGAAATAGTAACTTTAAATAGTCAATTCTTCAAGGTATTTTGTTGGGATTTGAGAATCCACCAGTTCAAATATACGACCCATTCCCATCATTTGTTATATAAATACACATAATGAACAATATTAAACTTTTTGACAAACATACAAAGACATTTTAAACTTTTCACGTAAATAATTATCTTCCCTTTACTAGCAGACGACAGATTTGGGAAAGAGTGGTGTAATAACACAAGTCTTTATTTATTTTGTTGCAAAATTAACAATGATCATTTCCAAGCTTTATAAATGTATGGATTGTATTGCTTTGGGTAAATGATTCAAGTAAAACAAAGTATACTCACATAAGTACAGTCACTATTGCGTGTGAACGTTTTGATTTTTCAAAACAGTAACCATTGAAAGGGACCAGTCATTATCTCGAAAAGTATTTTCTGGAACACGTTATCATATTACTTTAAATAATGGAAATATACTCTAAGGACAAAACTAAAAATACTAATTATGTAGAATATCTTTGTTTTGCTTACATTTCTTTTACAACCTGTTTTGGCTTAAATATGACGCAAATCTAACTAAATAGTTACAATACGATTGAATATGCCCATTTATGAAGCTCAAAGTACAATGGCCGTTAAAAGAAATAAAGATAATATTTATTATAAATAATGTATCTTTATTCATGGTTAAATACCTTTCCATATAATTTGTTCAATTGATGTGGTTGTACAAGTCTTACACCAAGGAGCATGTAGCGGCATCATGCACTGTTAACACTGTTTGAAGTGGCGTCAGGCACTGTTAATACTGTTTAAAGCGGGGTCAGACACTGTTAATACTGTTTAAAGCGGCGTCAGGAACTGTTAACACTGTTTGAAGCGGCGTCAGGAACTGTTAACACTGTTTAAAGAGGCGTCAGGCACTGTTAACGTTGTTTAAAGGGGCGTCATGCATAGTTTAACACTGTTACTTACACTCATCTCACATCCAGTACAAGTACACGTTCTTGTTTATCGTGTTCTACACAGAATCAATTTTCGTCACCGTAATTTCGCCTCTTAGATTCTGCAGCATCAGCTGAAAAGTCAGAAATCAAATATAAAACGGCAACGCCAGAGATCAGTCTCGACTACCTGCAGGTCTCGTTATATCAGTGCCCACCCTACCGTTATCTCTGTGTCCACCCTACCGTTATATCTGTGCCCACCCTACCGCTATATCTGTGCCCACCCTACCGTTATCTCTGTGCCCACCCTACCGTTATCTCTGTGCCCACCCTACCGTTATCTCTGTGCCCACCCTACCGTTATCTCTGTGCCCACCCTACCGTTATCTTTGTGCCAACCCTACCGTTATCTCTCTGGCCACCCTACCGTTATCTCTGTGCCCACCCTAGCGTTATCTCAGTGCCCACCCTACCGTTATCTCTGTGCCCACCCTACCGTTATCTTTGTGCCAACCCTACCGTTATCTCTGTGTCCACCCTACCGTTATCTCTGTGCCCACCCTACCGTTATCTCTGTGCCCATCCTACCGTTATTTCTGTGCCCACCCTACCGTTATATCTGTGCCCACCCTACCGTTATCTTTGTGCCCACCCTACCGTTATATCTGTGCCCACCCTACCGTTATCTCTGTGCCCACCCTACCGTTATCTCTGTGCCCACCCTACCGTTATTTATGTGCCCACCCTACCGTTATATCTGTGCCCACCCTACCGTTATCTCTCTGCCCACCCTACCGTTATCTCTGTGTCCACCTTACCGTTATCTCAGTGCCCACCCTACCGTTATCTTTGTGCCAACCCTACCGTTATCTCTGTGCCAACCCTACCGTTATATCTGTGCCCATCCTACTGTTATCTCTGTGCCCACCCTACCGTTATATCTGTGCCAACCCTACCGTTATCTCTCTGCCCACCCTACCGTTATCTCTGTGTCCACCTTACCGTTATCTCAGTGCCCACCCTACCGTTATCTTTGTGCCAACCCTACCGTTATCTCTGTGCCAACCCTACCGTTATATCTGTGCCCATCCTACTGTTATCTCTGTGCCCACCCTACCGTTATATCTGTGCCAACCCTACCGTTATCTCTGTGCCCATCCTACCGTTATCGCTCTGTCCACCCTACCGTTATCTCTGTGCCCATCCTACCGTTATCGCTCTGTCCACCCTACCGTTATCTCTGTGCCCACCCTACCGTTATATCTGTGCCCACCCTACCGTTATCTCTGTACCCATCCTACCGTTATCTCTCTGTCCACCCTACCGTTATCTCTCTGTCCACCCTACCGTTATCTCTCTGTCCACCCTACCGTTATCTCGCTGTCCACCCTACCGTTATCTCGCTGTCCACCCTACCGTTATCTCTGCCTCCGCCTTTTTGCAGTAATAACATGTGAAATATTGATGTCGTTTCTCCAAATGGCCATACTGAAATCTTTACAAGCATTTAAATATATTTAACAAATATCAAGTATAAACTAAACAGTGATAAATAACAAATTATCACTAAGAAACCATTAGTTTATTCCAGTTATATATCTTAATCTTTGTCACACTTACTATTTATCCATATATACGTGTATATTTCCTGCCTTTGCTTATAATGCACTTGTCGTTGTTACTGTAGCAAGTTTCAAATCAGGCTAAAAAATATAACTAAAAGCGGTTTTTCTATCAGATACCTTTTTCCTTTCCTCGACACTCAGGTTTGTCGCAAGGACGTAGCTTAGTTTAGTGAAGGCAGCTTGGGGTGTCATGTCCCCGCCGAGAATAAGTCCACACCGGACCAGGCCCTGCAACGTATTTAGGCACATACGAGTTGGTGTCGTGTTGCTGAGTGACATCTGAACTATTTAATAACCACATTCCTAACTTGATATCATTGTGTGAGTAAGGCATGATTTTAATACAGTCGGAATCGTACAGTCGTAAGATATTTCTTATGCTAATGGAAAGTGTTTTGTCACTTTTGTCAAAGAAATATTGAATCCTTCCATTTCAGAGTTTTCTGATATCTCTGAATGAATCTCAAACTCCCTTTGCCCTCAATCACACCCTCGTCCTATTACCTAACATGTACATAATGGAGTTTATTTGTATTACCCATTACGTTAAGGAAAGTAATTACCTGTAGTGATGTATTTGTCGCCACACCTCCTTTCAGACAGCTTGTGATGTTAACGAACATGCGATCTCCACCTTTCACAAGTTTCTCGAGGGCATCAACCACATCCTCGCTCATGTTGCCTGCTCCATAGGAAAGTAGGACCACTCCCTTCAAATCTCGAACAAAACAAACCACCTACAAAAAATATTTCAAAGGGACTGTAGCTCACCTAGTTACGAAGACAACACTTTCCAATGTCAACAAAAACACCCACTTACCAACACTCACTCTCAGCATTGGTGTTCAATCTTTTCTGTATTAATAATGAGGACCAAAAACCAACATCCTTATGAATTGAACATAAAAAGAAACATACATACCTCAATCTTTCAAAGAAGAGGTTTACAGTGAAATGGAACACATTGAAGAGGGTGGTAAAAAAAAGTCGAATCGAAGTCATATTACATTTTGACAAAATCATGGTGATAAAATATATTTTTTTCAAAACGGTTGATATGACGGCCATATTGAAGAGCGGATTCGAACCGCTTGGAGAAAGTGGGGTGTCATCTTTGGTGGCAACAGTATGTGGCGTTGGTGCAGACGTTTCTTAGGAGAACGAGTGGAGAAGAGTGATGAATGTATATTCTTAGTATTTTCCAATATGGCTGCTGGCAGCAACTCTTGATTACCGATCAAGATGCCTTAAACACACCTGGATCTTCCAATGTTCATGCGTGCTAGGGTATCCAATGAAATGTTCACATAGTGCTCACGCCGTGAATTAGTTCCTCGTGGTTGTGGTCAAAGCCGCCTATGAATTGTGTCGCAATACAATAATGATTTTGACGATTTTGTACTATGGTATCGCGACTGGTTTACGTGGTGAATGCAACATTAATTGCATGCCGAAGTGATGTAGAAGAAATATTGTTGATACCGCTATTTCAATAATATCAGGACGGATATCGTGCACTGTGGTACAAAATCGAGAAGCGCCTTGCTATTCGCATAGTGTCATCACTGCGTGGACTTTGTCTTGCATCCCAAAAGGTGTCATTCGCTGGCCACTTGTTCCATGGCCAGGGGGTGTGCAGGCATTCAGGCAAATAATTGGCACACACGTTTCTTAGCTTTATGACTGCCGTGTTTGAGATACTGACGTAACCGACACATACATATCTCTTCGTTAACGTTTGATGAACTCGATCCTAAAGCCTTGTAGAAGTAACAGAATGTATCTGCATGTCGCTTTATAAGTGCATTAATCTTGGCCGTGACCCCATTTCAGCTCACTTCACAGAATGAATCTCTTGAAAACTACGTACATGTATGCGTTTCTATTTAGGACGAATATATGTAGTCTTTTTGTCCATATCCTATTCCACCGATAACCTGTTCTGCCTTATGTGCATTTCAGTTTTCAGCAGAAATATTTCGAGTCAGGGGAACAATATTCCTATAATGGTGTCTTGTTAGAGGACTGGGGTCGGATCATTCATACCACATGAGAACCGGCAGGTATTACACTTTCTCACATCCTCACATACTGACCATATCTGCTGATATCCCCGGATACAGCATCAGCATACCGACATCCTCCTTGTTGCAGACCGGTAGAACATCCAGTTCCTCGGTGACCGTGTTTCTTCTCACCAGGCTCTCCTTCACTGGAAGGGAGTAGGACGATGGATGGTTGTAGGCTTATCAAGGTGCGAAGCATGTGAGTGACAGAGGGAGTCATAATGACTTATTGCAGATTTGTACATACCTATCCGATGTGATGCAGCAAGCCGGAATCTTTTGCATCAAAAGCACTGGGACCCACCAGGAGAAAAGGGGCCTTTTGGGTGAAAATCACATTTTGACTTCTCATATATTTTAAAACTACAGTATCTTAGTAACACAAAAATACAATTCACAGGATTCGATTTATATGTATTACAGAGATACATAAAACACTTGGACTCATTTTCTGCAAAGTCCCGTTCTCAGACTTATAGCTGTTTATGTAGTAATAATGTCTGATTAATTGAACGTAGACATGATTGGTGAAATGTTTGGAAATACTGTTACATGACGAACTAACGAGAGAAAAGTGAGATATTTTTTACAGTCCGCACACATGGCCGTTTTTTACGGAAGTTGGTGGACGTGAAAAGTGTTCTTCATGACGTCACAGCACAACTGTTTCCTAGCACCTATAAGGTCCCTTTTCTCCTGGTGGGTCACAAATGCAGACTCTGGTTAATGCTGCTGACTATCTGTGATATCAATATTTAGGGTTAGATCCTAGCGAGGGACGTAAACATTAAAGTGTCTTGTCCGTGCTCTATCCAGGTCTGACCACCTCCGTGGTCAAGTGGTAGAGCGCCCGCCCGGAGAGCGGACGGTCCGGGGTTCGATTCCCGACCGCGTCATACCAAAAGACGTTAAAAGATGGTACTTGTTGTAACCCTGTCTGGCGCTCGGCATTAAGGGGCTAAAACAAGGACTGGTCGGCTCGGAATCAGTATACTGTGTCTGAGTGGGGCATTCGTGTTAAACTGCGGCATGGTATCTCAGTGAGCTAGTACAAGCAGCCACACAAACACACACACGTACATGCACGTCGCTATATAAGTGCAATAATCTTGGACGCGACGTTTAACCTCATTTCACCTTCATCTCTATCCAGGTCTGGACACATAGCTAGTGCCCCGTGTGGAACTGATACATTGTCCCAAATTATGGTAATCCTTAAATGAAGGACTGATGCACATATCAATATATACTCGACAAGCAATCTTTGCTGACCATACAACAAGTCCCTAGTAGACAAGCCACTGTCATCAACACGCATGCAATATGTCCAAATAATATATCAGATATACCGTTAATTACACTAAGCTGTATTTCTCAGATAAAGCCTGGCAAAGTCATTCCAGAAATATCCTGAAAGACATTCAGAGGAATTTACAAAATTATGACACGTTGCTTGTCAAAATGGTGCGCTATGCTATCCCATATTTGTTGATCTTAACGGCAGGTTTCCACTCGTCCTTGTTCACTGGCATCCACTTTTGTGGATCGGGTGGTCATGTTTGGCGGATTTTCCGTGATCCATTCATATAATTGTCGTCACTATTTTTCCCTTTACGCCGCATGGAATCTGTTTCGGCAGATACTCGAAACAGATTATTTTCTGGCGTTTTAGATTTTATATAAATAAATGATAACCGGTTATTTTACCATTCAGTATAGGAAGATGGGGATGGAAAAAAGTAGCTCGTCACAACATTGCTGAAATACTGATGATGTGACTGTAAATTTTAGTGAGTGAGTGAGTGAGGATGGTTTTACGCCGCTTTTAGCAACATTCCAGCATTATCACGGCGGGGGACGGCGGCTTGACACATTGTACCCATGCCGGGAATCAAACCCGAGTCTTCGGCGTGACGAGCGAACGCTTTAACCACTAGGCTAGCCGACCGCTTTTAATTTGTTAAATACACAATCGCTCGTCTTTCGAGAGTGAACAAACCTACCCGAGAGGTTCACGTCCAGCGCGTCTTCAGCCATGTCGACAGTCGCTAGGGATGGCATGTTAGGGGAAGCATAGGCTTCGACGTCTACAGAGTCGATCTTGATCGTCCTGTTTGCCCGGAAGGCCGTCTTATTGAAGCATAGCATCACCTGACCGTCCAAACCAAACACCACATGTCATGTCAGCGTTCAATGAAACTGTCACAACTGTACAATCTCAGTACCCGAAATTAGGTATTGCATGTTTACATGCTTGTAATCTCAGTACTAGCAATAGGTTTTTGCATTATACCAACCGACTTATGGTGCCTTTAGGATTAGAATCGCAGACCCTTCTATAAAGTAATCGGTTATTGTTTCGATAACAATTTAACACGAGATCTTTCTACAAATATTTATTATAGTTACGGCTATCGTGGGTCTGCAAACGTTGAGCATTCCTAGGTCTTCGAACCTAACATGTACACGCAATTATATGCAAGTGAAATTGGCAAATACAACCTGTTATTATTTATACCAAGCCATGATGATGTCGGTTCAAAGAGTTGCAGAAAATATAACTCCATCGCTTCAGATTCATACGGTTAAAGTCATAAAACACGTGATCAGTGCATCTCATTTTACATTCTAATTTATCAACTATACAAATACATTTGAATGTTAACTCTTTACCGAGTGAAACAGCTATCTTAGTGTGAGTGAGTTTTGGTTTTACGCCGCTTTTAGCAATATTCCAGCAATATCACGGCGGGAGACACCAGAAATGGGCTTCGAACATTGTACCCATGTCGGGATTCGAACCCGGGTCTTCGGCGTGACGAGCGAACGCTTTAACCACTAGGCTACCCGACCGCCCCAACAGCTATCTTAAGGATGTTAAACACTCCTAAATAAAACAAGCATTTATGCCGCCCGTAGTTGTAGAAAGACGCAGTCTGTTGTCTGTGTGTGGTCATGTCTTACCTCCGGAATGTGTTGAGTCGCCATGATGAGCGAACATAGGAGATTGTTCAAACCGTCTGTTGACGACTCGAATATTGGAATCTGTAAGTTAATACACAGGAGTCATGTTATTGGGTGGTTAATGGTTATAAACATATAGAAGCTCTTCAGATACCTTAAGGGGACATTGGTATGGAATACAGAATTGAGTGAGTGAGTTGGGTTTAGCGCCGCTTTTAACATTATTCGAGTTATATCACGGCGTGTCCTAATGTGGGAGGAAAGCCCGAAGGGATGCAGTTCTTAGACGTTTACCACTTCGGTGAAACCCACGAGCTGACAAACCTTGAAACATAATCGGGGCGAACCGGGATTCGATCCCACGATCATAGGTTTCTGGCGTGAAAAGGGACGCCACTCTGCACAGCGAAGCTCGGCACCTTAGGTGACTGGGCCCCCGGTGCCCCTGGTTATGACAAGAAGAATAGTGGCATCTGTTTGCGATGTTTTGTTTAACGCTTGACTCAGCAGTGTTCCAGTTATGTCGCAGCGGCCAGTGAATAATAAAGCGTCTGTGGCAGTGGTTAATGTGATGGAAAACGTCCCACGTCGTCAAGACACAGTGACACATACAGAAGATTGTGTATAGAAGCTACTGACATGCCATAGAGATGTTATTTTGATGTTATATAGATGATATTCAGATACCATTAACACTACTCAGCGGTCAGAGAGAAACTAATCAGGTGTCATGTAGACGCTATTCATATACCATATAGACGCTATTCAGATGCCATATAGACGCTATTTAGATGCCATATAGACGCTATTCAGATGCCATATAGACGCTATTTAGATGCCATATAGACGCTATTCAGATGCCATATAGACGCTATTCAGATGCCATATAGACGCTATTTAGATGCCATATAGACGCTATTCAGATGCCATATAGACGCTATTCAGATACCATGTAGACGCTATTCAAATGTCACATAGAAGCTATTCAGATACCTTATAGACGCTATTCAGATGCCATATAGACGCTATTCAGATACCATATAGACACTATTCAGATGTCACATAGAAGCTATTCAGATACCTTATAGACGCTATTCAGATACCATATAGACGCTATTCATATACCATATAGATGCTATTTAATTGTTACATAGACGCTATTCAGAAGTCATCCTGCACTTCAAGAATATCAAATGATGTATCTATGATGACAGTGTTCATCTCCATGACACGATGATACACTTCGTTTCCCAATTACGGTGGTTGTGTTAATTAGTAGCATGTGACTCTAGGTTTGAATATTATGACAACCAATTAGATCCAATCATTCTAGTCACGTCATGCAAGATCTACTTTAAACTTGAAAGAGCATGACATGGCCATGACAAGTAGTATGTCATGTGTGGCATATACTTCCATCTTTGGTGGTGGGTTAAACGGTGCCTTGAATCATATTTCATATCACGGCGTGTCAGGACGGGTCAGTTTAATAGGGGAGGAGAAACCGGTATTCATCTGGTTTTACAATGTTGACGACCTCAGTGGCACCGGTGTGCTGCTGACAAGTTCCTAATCGGGACCAATCTTGGATTCGAACCCACCATAAGCGGATGATATAAGATATACATACTGACACTGATCCCCGTGGTCCACTCGGTCGCTGGGGTGTTTGCGCCTACTAGTGTGTGGACATACCCACCTGGGCCCCCGTGAAGACGACCGGCTTATTGAGGTGCTGCAGCATGAAGGACACTGCAGAGCCTGCATACGCCATTGTGTCCGTCCCCGTGATGATGACAAAGCCCGTGTATTCGGCGTAGTGATCCTGAAACATAATCAGATGCATCCCACTGAGCACAAACTAATATGGAAGTCAAGCAGCGACGACGGCGCGGTGGGGTAGCCGCTCACACCGAAGACTCGGGTTCGATTCCCATCATGAGTACAATGTGTGAAGCCCATTTCTGGAGCCCCCCGCCGTAATATTACTGGAGTGTTGCTAAAGGCGGCGTAAAACCATATTCACTCACTCAATCACTAGACGAGAAACCGTTTTGTTGAAAACTGACAATATCAATCGACTCGAACCTGTTATGTGAAGAAAAGCCACAAAACCCTTTCCATAATCATAAGGATTATCTACTTGAAGCACTTAGGTCCACTGCACGATTCCGACTATATCATAATGATGTTTTTTTCTTAATCATTGTCAAATCGTGACGATACCAGGTTTCTCGCAAAGGTGAGTGTATCCTGCCCTACCAGTCGCTTCCGTCACAAACACATGCAAAGACAAGTCAATTGTTCACCCGAAAATATGCTCTCTACATATAAAACCATATCTACCATAAAACCTTTTGAATGCTTCAATGCTTGAATTTTGTAACCCTGATAAATGAGATGTTGCAGCTATTATTCTTCAAACACAGGCAATAGTATTTCCGATCAACAGAAATATTCATCATAAGCCCAGTAGCATATACCTATGCTGAGTCAACTACAAAAGAAATGTTTGGGCCGAGACTTTAAAACTGAGCCCCACTGTGTTGCAAAACGAATATATACTGAACCGCAAAAGAAACGTCAACCCAAGTAACATTGCATGAAAAGTTGTCATTTAAATATCTGGGTAATGTTTGTCAAAGTTTCTAAAATTTAACATTACCTTGTCCGAATCTATAAATGCACGAAGACCATTTCTCGGTTATCTCTTCATGTAAACATATATATTAGTGTTTCCGCGCATTCCCATGTTGCATCAATGCTATGACGGCTTAAAAAGGCATAAGCTTCACACAACGTACCTTGCATGGGGATCGAACCCTTGTTTACAGTGTAACCGTGAAAGTACTGAAATTGTTTTACTTTTATATACGTAGCGATTTCTTGCCAGTGCTTGTGTTCCATGTTGGAGGAAAATAACAGGGTGCCAAAGTCCTCAACGTCGTAGACAATATGCTGAGTCAGCCCATTTATCCTCAGACCTCTGCAACAAAAACACATAACAACTATCGCAACAACACTAACGTCCACAACGTAGGCGACGGTGATGATGTTATTTTAAAGAACGCAAGCCAGTAACACTGTTCCTCATTCCTGATGTGGGTATGACGAAGACGTTATCAGAAAATCAAAAAATCCCACATTTCCTGCATTAATAAAGAATATAAATACAGTAGACTACGGTTATAACGAACTCAAAGGGACTTCTAATTTTAGTTCGTTATAACCGTAGTTCGTTATATGCACATATACAGCATAACTACAGCAAGTAGTCGGGACCAAAAAGTAAGTTCGTTATATCCGTCATTTCGTTATAAGCGTGTTCGTCATAACCGTAGTTTACTGTACATATATTACCTCAAATGTAATTACGGAGTCAATACCCTCAATGACAAATACAATATGGGTTATTTATAGTTATTCCGATAATAACTTTTCCTCACTGTATTATATAAGATAGCAACGCGGTAAATGACAAAGAACAATGAAGGACAAATCGTTATTTATTTCTAAATAAAACGTTGTTCTATCATAACGCCATTTCTGGAGATTCGACCATACGCTTCGCAACTTGATGACGTCGTAAATTGGGAAGTGTCTTGTGAGTTTTTCCTTATAGATGTAACTGATGAAATAAGCTGCAGAAATATCGCATCCAAAAGTAGGAGAGATAATTATAACAATCAATATGTGGAGAAAAGGTCCAGAAAATACCAAACGTAACCACCCCCTGTTCATAAAATGGTTTTGTCCGACAATGTATTCAGGGAGTCATGATTATGTTAATACGGGTAAATATTTTAAACCTAGTACATTATAGAAACATCCTTTAAGTTGGTTGTACAAAATGATATCTCACCTGAGAAATAAACGACTCGTCGTAATTGTTTATCGTACAATAACACACTGCAGGGAGAATTAACCCTTATTCATCCCTACAGTGTATTATTGCACGGCACGATCAACAACTCTCACTTGTCGTTTATTACTTCGCTATACCTACGGCGTGACGAGTCGCCTGACTTCTTTATCCGTTTCGTGGTACGAGTCCCTGTTGTCATGGAGATAAGGATTCCGCCTAAGTGTTGTCAGTATTCTCCCAAGGGCTGCAGGGTCAAAGGTATCTGTCGGGAAACAATGAGGAATAACAAGGAACTGACAATCTCAATTATCATGAGGGTGGGTTCGACGAATTCCAGGTTTTTGTTCAAATTGTTCACCTGTCTAATTGGATTTGCATTCGGCCAGTCTGATGTACAGAAAACTGACCGTCATCTTGTGGGATGCGGCCCACCTTAAGTCTGTCGGCATGTTTGCGTGCGATGCGAACACGCTGGTTCGTGTCAAAATGAGTTACGTCCAACACAAATCCTACGGATTCAAATGCTTCAAGTTTTTACATTGGCGAGACAGGGGATGCAGCAACGTACATATGTATTCAGATTCATTAACAGTAAACAGCGTGGGTGCACGCATGCAAAAACGCTGTGATATGACTGAAATAATGTTCAACGCAGAGTTAAACCAAACTCACTCACTCACTCGGACAGACAGCTACTACCGCACAATGCGTGGCTGTTGTTTTCTCCTTTCTTGTGATGAGGGTACATGTGTGGCCCGCGTATGTATTGTCACGAGTCCTTTCACTGACAAAACGCAAGAACCAGCACAGGGACAGACAAACAGCAGGATTCGTGTCTCTGCATGTGGCATATCAATGTGTCACGTCCGTTACCATCCAAAGGGAAGGATAGTTTAACGAAGGAGATCACTGCAGATGATAATTTCTCCATGACACACATAGTGTACAATGTACGAATAGTGGGTACGTAATTTCTAACGAGTCAGTTAGGGAGTGAATGCTATTTTACGCAGCATTCAGTATCTGTTACAACACCATGGTCCCTGTTAACAAACGTGGCTGGGCCCAAACCAGTGCCTCACAGCATTAGCACAATCCACACCGTCGGGCACAATGACACGCAATCAGACCTGACATCCGATCGTCATTGTTGACATCTTTATTAAACACGACTCGTGGTACAAGCTCGGTACGCTGGGGGCCATTACATCTCCGGAATCTTCACGGGTGTAACACATATCCTCAGTATTGTGAGTGAGTGAGTGAGTGAGTGAGGTTTTACGCCGCTTTTAGCAATATTCCAGCAACATCACGGCGGGGGACACCAGAAATAGGCTTCACACATTGTACCCATGTCGGGAATCGAACCCGGGTCTTCGGCGTGACGAGCGAACGCTTCAACCACTAGGCTACCCGACCGCCCCCTCAGTATTGTGTGATTATCACAAAAACTAAGAGATGCAAAGGTAGCAATATACATTCAGATGCCACATCACCTAGGTTTAGGCGATCTGACAAAATGAAAACAATGATTTGTTGAATTACACAAAGCAATTACTTCAAGCACGGTTTGGTGGTCATGAAGCCGGAAAATGTCCTCTATATGGAGATAAAACGATGCCCAACCTTCGTTTGTGTATTCCATGCCAAATGTTCCTCCAGTGTAGAGGACCAGCACTCGGGATGTCGCCATCGTCTCGACAAGTGAACGGACAATGTGGCTTCAAGTAGACCTGCTCTGGAATATGTGATAGTATAGTGCCACGACACTGTGGCTCACCTGAATAAGTAGATCTAGTCAGCAGTGCTGAATATCAAAAGACACCATTCTTAACAAAGCGTCTGTCAGCATTGAAATTGAGCATTAGACGTTCTACAAACGTCTAAGAGTAGCTCTGCTTTGAAAAAATGGCATAACGAATACTCAAAAGTTGCTAAGGATCTCAACGTTAACAGGTAACACGTCAAATTGTGTGCTTCAGTTACTGTTGAAATAGTCATAGACAATATTGCATTAAAACATGTTTAATGAACAAAAGTCCATTGTAATACCACACAATGACAACAAACAACATGTGATCAATACTCTGTTAGATCATCTGTCAAAAACTTGTATCTGAACAAAACTGATCATGATCATTATCAAATAATCATGAACAAATATTTGTTTCCGAAAAAAATAAAATTGTCCCGATTTTTTTCACTCCAAAATTGCATTGTTGCAAAGAAAACAGAGGCTCATTGTCTTAAATAAACTAAACATCTGGTTTTTTAGCTGTTATTAAAAACATATCTAATCTCGATGCAGAATCTCAGGCCCACAGAATATCAAATGCTCGGTCCCTGACTGGATGCGGTCGTATCTTATCGTCCGTAAGGATGAAGTCCTGTCCGATTGAACCAGCATACGGTCTCAGGTACTCATCCATGATAATATCCATGTAGCGCACACCTGTCATCGCAACCCGCTGTAGGACACCGAAATCGGTTCTTCCACCTCTACTGATCCCACCCCACTCATGATTCAGCCCTGTCCATAGCAATCATGTTCTGCTACGTGGGAATCCTGAAATCTTTCTCCGTGTCTGCGCCACACTCGGGCGCGAGGATCTGTGAAGTCTTGACAGTATCTCGAGTCATCAGAAATGTAAAAGTACTGGAGCCCAGTCCTGGTCTGTCATCTTCCCGAGGCAAGAGAGTTAACTGACTTTAAAAGTCCAGTTTCCACTCTTGCAGAACTTGGCTGGAATTCCTGGGCTCGATCGTAGCGCCACGAGTTAGTTATGTCCTTTCTATGCCTCTCCTATTGACCAATCAGATTCAACCTCTCGTATCACTTGCATTTGCTTCAAATAAAACGGTGGCGCCCAGTCAAGACGATCTGATCGATAATCAAGATCTATATTGTGTTAAAACGAGTCTTAAATCGCGAAGTGCATCAAATAACGTGAGCACCTTGATTAAAAACATGAAAAGATTTAGAAAATATCTGTTGACAAGGAGTTAGCGGTGCACATGCTTTGCAAATCCTGCAGTCGACCGAAATCTGCACGAGAGTTTACGAACCGGATTTCGATTTCGGTGCGCGATTTCGATTGGACTATGCAGAGACTCGTCAGTCCAGCCAAAATGTAACTCCATAATTCCAGCCTAGTTCGGCAAGGGTGGAAACTGGACATCTCGGGAAGATGTGGTCTGTCAACTGACGTGATCTTCAGCCCAATCCTAACGTGCCTGTCTGTGATGACGGGTAAGTGGGATGCAAATGGAATCAGGAAAACCTATCTTCCTGCTATGGAATGCTGTCGACCACCTGCATGTCGCCGGGTAGCTGATCCAAACCTCGGCTATCAATGTTGTCTGGACCTAGTTTCAAACGTGCCTTAACATCTGCCTTATTCTTCGGTCGTCAAATGACGCCTTTGACGATGAGGTGGCATAAGTGAATTCTATTGTTGCAATCCCCAGCAAACGTCGTGCTCTCTGATGATGATGTGCAACGATTCTGGCCCGATACATCCAAACACATCGTGTACATCGTGCAAATCTGGTGACCGGGCGGGCCAAGGTAATGTCTGGATGTTGTTGTGCTGTAAGAAGTCCTGACAAACACGTGCACTATGCGGTCGAGCGTTGTCCTGCTGGAACTGTCCGCCATGAACGTTGACGTGAGGAAGAACGTAAGGCTGTAGGATCAAGTCTCTGTAACGCACACCTGTCAATGCACCTGCCACATGCACGAGAGGCTACCTACCACCATGATGAATTCCGGCCCATACCATGACACTCCCGCCGCCAAATGGGACAACCTGCTGCACACAGTTGGGGGCGTAACGTTCGTCTGTAGACACGTGCGCGCCCATCAGCACGTGTGAGTAGGAAACGGGACTCGTCAGTAAACAGTACATTTCTCCACCTTGCACGTGCCAATCTAACCCTCTGTTGGCACCAAAGCAGATGGTCCGCCAGATGACGTAGGGTCAATACGTGACGTCGAACAGGTCTTCGTGCAAAAAGTCCAGCCTACCTCAGTCTGTTGCGTACCGTTTGATCTGATATTCTGCGTACCCAAGGGATCTGTGTGGTTGTAGACGTGGCTGTGGTAGTGCGGTCTCGGAGGTGTCGCAGCCGGATGTATCGATCTTGTGCTTGGGTTGTCACCCTTAGTCTTCCTGACCTTGGTCTGTCGTCAACTCTGTTGGTGTTGTTGTATCGGGTCCACAGTGCAGAGATTGTCTGTCTAGATACGCCAAAGTGCCTGTCCAATTCTTGCTGAGTTGCCCCAGCTTGTAATCTCCCAATGGCGTTGTTCCGTTGAGCTGCATTCAGTCTTGGCATTCTGTCACCGCCTCTACTGCCGTTATAAGGACTGTATGAACAGTCGTTGATGTGGATTTTTATACCCATTCAGCAGGGGGGCCTGCATGCCTCAATGCAGGATCCTTTGCTGCACGTTTTATTACAGGGGGTTGCGTTTGGATGAAGCTGTAAAAATGATCCCCAAACGCTACGCTTATGTGCTTTGCATGTGTTTTCGTGAATCATAGACACATCATCTTTCTGTTTGACTAATTTGGTTCTCATTTAATGTAATTATTTTAGACATTTGGCAAAAGGTGGTTTTACATCTATGTCAAGTTTCTTTGTTTGAAGAGTATAACTATTTGATTAACTTCTTTAGTTGTATGATTTTTTTTATATGATCAAAACTTGATCCTTAGCAAACTCTGAGTAGTATGTACGTGTTTAGATATGACGAGGTGAACGTCTGTCTACAATACCTTATCTTCATGTTTCTGTTGACAGCTGCCACACTCTCAAAACGATTGACACACTACTGTGGATTAAGTCAAAGGCCAATAAATAATCAGTATAAAGTTGCTAAGTACAGATTATGTGCTGCCATTATCGTTAAGAAGTTACCAACTTATCTACTCCAAGAAACATATTTCGCTTTTGTGTTTGGAATATATCATGCCACAGACTTATCTCCTTCACTTAATTCTTTTATCCTTTCTTGTACATTCTAGATGAACCTTGCAAGCTCCGACGTTCATACAGTTTTGCCCTCACTCTGTGAAGGTTCATACTCCAATGAACTCACACAAAGTGAAGGTCAATTCTTAAATAATTTACTTGAACTTGGTAGATGTTTCTGTCGTTTATCATATGCTCAGTAGAATAAAAGAACTAAACGAGAAATATTTGAGCCGAGACATCAAAACTGACTCCCACTGAGTTGGAAAAGGAATATATTTCTTAAACGTCTTTTTTAATAATAAGCAGCAGAATTGCTTCACTGGCCCACTGCAGACTTAATTCAAAATGAAGATATCCTTTTTAGTGTAAATAAATCAGTAAATGCGCTGCACTGTTTTCTCGTCCATCACTTCTTTGATTTGTTAACAAGCCACCGTTATATGACAGGAGTACTTCTGTGTGGCTCCAGGCAACAAACGAATACGTTAAGAATTGTTAGTGGCGGGCGCTACCATAATATTTTCCTTTACTCAAAACTCATGTTTTTTGTTTCGCAAATACATATATGTATATCTTTCAAGTATCATGACACATAACTTAACTCATTTTAACTTAATTCAACGATTTTATAGCGATATTGAAATATTTCGCCCATGGGAAGGAAAAGGTTTTGCCGGGCCAAACTTTCTCGTCCAGGGCGAAATATTTCAATAACGCCGTAAAATAATTGAATTAAGTTAAAATGTTTTCCCTTGCTCAACAGTTTTAGTTTCGCAAATACATAAAGGTGTGTCTAAAAGCATGACACATGAGTCAACTCATTTCTGCTTAATTCAACTATTTTACGGCGTTATTAAAATATTTCGCCCATATTTTCGTCAGTCCCTTTAAAGCATCAACTAACTGTGTGCAAAGTATATTGTATCATGTGAAATATACTTTATATTATATCATTACATTACTATTTAAAAAGGGCCTTTGGTTGGATGTTTCCTTTGTAGAAGTTTTACAAATTTCACCTGTTTTACTTATTAAGTAAGGATAAGAATTTATGGATGAACAACTTCTTTATTACAATTAAGGGCAAAGAAGTTGTTCATCCAACTTCTAAATGCCTATTAAAGAAGTTGTTTTACTTATTGTAGCGATCTGTAATGAACCCGGCCTTACCTCTCAAAACTTTTTGACAGTTTATCATTCGAATTCATGTGCGTGTACTCCAATTCATAGGAGTTATTTTCCACAACATTAAAGTTTAGTTAGTTTCTTTTTCATTTCACATTTAATGTGTCGTTGTTACGTCACACTTGGCAAATGACTGACACTAGGTATGCAATATACAGGTACGCGTGCGCGTATTTTAATGGAAAAAACTATTCGTTTTTTATTGCATAACGTCTGGTTGAATATCTCACATTTTAACGAAATCTCTCTTTAATAACATGCGGTGTCGAACTGACTGTGGGAATTATGTTTCAATGCGACTGAGGAAAACTTGAGTGAATATTATGACACTAAAGCAACTTTTAAATGCATTGTCACTTTTGGTATGAAAATGGTAACAGTTAAGAAAAACGCAACAGCCTTCTTATGATAATTCTCATATTCTCACTAGTACGTTGTATCTAATGAGAGTGTCGGCCTTATTTACAGGTGATTCTACAATATCTGCTCTCGGTCAATTACAATCTGCCACACCACGCGTGAAGAAACAGTTATGCAGGTGTTGCTGTGGGCAAATACCTAGCCTGTAGATGTATATTTTTTGTGCATACATGTATTACATATTTTCGTTGATATGTGGATAC